GGCTGGAAGATGAGTGTTTTGAGAGCAGCCCTGCCGAGAAGGACTTGGGGGTACCAGTGGATGAAAAATTGGACGTGACCTGGCAATGTGTGCTCGCAGCCCAGAAAGCCAATCGTATCCTGGGCCGCATCAAAAGAAGCGTGGCCAGCAGGTCGAGGGAGGTGATTCTGCCCCTCTATTCTGCTCTGGTGAGACCCCACCTGCAGTACTGTATCCAGCGCTGGGGTCCCCAGCACAAGAAAGACATGGACCTGTTTGAGCGGGTCTAGAGGAGGGCCACAAAACTGGTCAGAGGGATGAAACACCTCTTCTATGAAGAAAGGCTGAGAGAGTTGGGGTTGTTCAGCCTGGAGACAAGAAGACTCTGGGGAGATCTTGTTGCAGCCTTTCAATATATAAAGGGAATTTATAAGAAAGATGCAGGAAGACTCTTTTTTACCAAGGCCTGTATTGACAGGACAAGGGGCAATGGTTTTAAACTGAAAGAGGGTAGATTTAGGTTGGACATAAGGAAGAAATTTTTTACGATGAGGGTGATGAGCTGCTGGAACGGGTTTCCCAGAGAAGTTGTGGATGCCCCATCATTGGAAGTGTTCAAGGTCAGGTTGGGTGTGGCTTTGAGCGACCTGATCTAATGAAAGATGTCCCTGCCCATGGCAGGGGGGTTGGACTAGATCATCCTTAAAGGTCCCTTCCCACTCAAACCATTCTATGATTCTATATCCAGAATGTCCTAAGTTGCTAGTCTGTGTTGTGAGTGGTTGGAACATGAGAGTGGGCAAGCTTAGCAATGAGCAGCAGAGAAACACCACTAAGTAACTCCATCCTTTCTTCTCACAGGAGTACCACGCTGTTACCCTCTTTGCACTATTCAGAATTCCCATGATTTAACAGTACATATTCTTCTATCATCTAAGTTTCCCACATACGATATCTTCTCAGCTAGGAACAAGATGGATTTAAGGGGGGGGATTACAAAAGTAAAGTGTTACCCTCAGGCTGGGGAAAGAAGATTGCTTAGAATCATGAACTGGTTAAAAACAGAGTCCTAGTCTACAGTTCATATTCTGTCTACTGATCAGACACTGGTGCTAAGTGCTTGAGCAAACTTTCCTTTCCATAGTTAGGCCCACCTGGGAGTTGGTCAAATGCATGAACTGTCTTTAAAGAACACATGAATTTATCTGATTCTCCACTGGAATTTTTTCCCAATAGCTTTATGCAGCCAGATTTGTTAGATTAATACATTACTTAACTCCCTGGAGACCCACCTCTAAGGCTTTTTGTTATGTTACTTACTTGACACATTCAACGCCTATAAATTACATGAACAGTATGCATATTTGTACCAACACAAACATGAATGTGTGTGTATGCATATGAATGTATGTAATTTGGGTCAAATCTTTATTTGTGGTATGTAGGTATGATAACACAACTTGCAGAAAAGTACAACCTACCAATGAAAACAAGTTTCAGCTCTGCTCGTGGATTTTTTATCCAGATGAATGTCGATTGTTCAACATTACCCAATGGCCAACTTCCTTCTGAATTTACAAAGGTATCTGTACTAGATATGTTTTTCCATAATGTTTGTATACTTAATGTATATAAAATGTATAATACATTAATAAAATACACATTATACAGTAATTGAAGCAACAATTAAAATAATTTCAGTGAAGATATCTAGAAGTAAATGAAGGTATAATTGGTATGTTTTTTAAAACTGCCCTATTTCTAGTTATACTTAATATAGTCAGAAATGTGCAATTATATGCAATTATGTTGTGTGTAAATATGATGTTGTATATCTTTGCTGATAACTGCATTCTCTTATATGGATTTTTCATAAATATTTATATGGGAAAAATGAAACCAGGCGTTGTTTTTTCCTCTTTTCTTTTCTCCTGTATTGTTCCCAGTTTGCTTTTTAGAAACTATTTTTGTTTCTGATAATAGGGCAAGTTCTTATTGTTGGTTTGAATTCCCTGTAGATCACTAAAATGAAAAACACATATAGCTTCACTTCAGCAGATTTAATAAAAATGAATGAAAGGTGTCAGGAGTCCCTGAGAGAAATATATCACATGACCTACTTGTAAGACCATTTAAAACTATTTAATATTTGCTAACTACGTTTATTTTGTCCAATTAACAGCTAATTACACGTTTTCTTAAAGCTATCTTTCTGTTAAGTTCTGGCTACTTACAGAAATAATCCAAAGCAACACTGATCAAGTGTACTTCCTGAGACAAAAAAAAAAAAGACAAAGTGTGTGTTGTATTAAACGTGATTACAGATATATAGGCATTTATTAATAAGGGTGGCCATCATATTTATTGAATTTTTATGGGTGAATTATCTACACAAAATGACACAAGGAATGCATTAGTTTTGTAATGCAGAATTGTTACTTTTAATCAGTTTCTTGCATTTACAGTAGAACTGTCTATTTCTGTATTTTGTCCTCGCTGCATGCCATGTTGCTCTGCTGTCTGTTTCAGAAGACTTACTAAGTGTAATGTTGCATATCAACTTTATGGAAATTCTTTCCAGAAACCATGTGGGGTTTTTATTAATATGAAGGCCTAAGGGAATTAGAGTCGCATTTGACGTGTTAATAAAACATACTTGATTCCATAGCTATATTTTTAGTTCATTCTCTTTGTGAAGCTTTCGTATGAGCAGTTGGTATTTGAGCTATGTGTCTTGTGTCTGATAGCAGAATTTGATCTGAGATGATGGTATAAGATCTTCATTTGCTTCAAAGAAGTCTATACATTTGCTTGCATCTGGCAGAGGTGATTGCATTTTATGAGTAACCTCCCATCCTAATGTATGCAGTATGAACATTATTAACTTGCTTTATTTCTATAAGTTGTATAAAGTGACAGTATGTGCTGTGCAACAACTAAATCAGTGTCTTATTTCAGAATAGTGTGTAAACTACTGAACGAGATCTATGAACACATTCATTGCCTATACAAGCTGTCTGACATTGTGTCAATGCTGGATATGCTGCTTTCATTTGCCCATGCCTGCACTCTTTCTGATTATGGTAAGTTTCTTCTTTGATTTTGTCATAGGCCAGATAAAGACACTCCTGTTGGAGAATATCCAGGCTGTTTCGTCTGGTTCTCCAATTGCTAAGCCCACGTCACTTATTTTTCTTGGTCTCAGTACGCTTTAGGTGAGTTTCTCTGATCTATCCTTGCCAGTTTTGTGTTGATGTTCTCTCTGTTTCCGTTCATTGAAACTACATTCTGCCATTTAGCTGCTGTAAGCCTTCACAGCCAGCCTTTTCAAGATAGCCAGTTCAAGCATATTCTATTCAAAAGCACAAAATCTGTGAACATTCTGAGTTTACACTTCTGTTCTGAAAGGGCACAAGATAATATAAGCAGATGAACATTAAGTATATACCATAAAAGAAAATATGTGGCTACCTTTGTTTATCTGCTTCAATTTCTGTAGCACTTCTAGACGTTTTTGGAAGTAGAGTCTTCTGAGGAATCCAGGATCACGTGCTTACCTGCATGTTGTTCATCCTGCTTCCCTAGCCCAGTTCTGCAATGTACAAATGAGCACATTTGTCTTCAGTTAATGCTGACCTGAAATATTTATTAACAGTACAATACTGTGTAGATACTAAATCAGGTCTAGAAGCCCTTTCAGGAGGTATATTAGCTCATCATTACTGATGCTCCTGTGTAAATTCCAGTTCATGAGCAGGATCAGTTTACTTTGCAGTGTGGACTGTGAACCTTCATGTGCTGATGATTCCAGATAGCACATAAATTGATATGTAACTGAACGGTAACTGATATGCTTGAGGCATCACAACCTTTTCCCGCCAAATGAATCAGAGCACAAGTTTTCTTCAGCAGTAATAATAAGACCAAAGCCACTTAGCTTCTCCCATAAATGCTACACCTGCAGTTTGCACAGTCAGGCATGAATGTGTATCCACCAAAAGAAATGGACTGTCATTTGTAGCTTTCAGTCTCCTTTGCCACTTGACTCTCTTGTCTAAATCATTAAATGACTAAAACCTACACCAGGTAATTAGAGTTCCCCAATGTTTAAACCGGAAAAACTGTTTTGGCACTTCTTTCTTGAAGGCTGCTCCATTTAAACAGACCACCAAATTTAACAACGCTTCTTTGTTAGCCTGGGGTACTGCCATTGAGGTAGACAAAGAGGAGGCATACGGAATAGGTTCAGAAAAGAACTGTATTCTGACAGAAATACATACAGATAGTCCCAGTATCAAATGGATCTATGTAGGCATAGTATAAACCCAAATAATCAATATGATAAAATATAACAAAAATAGAAGGAATGCTACTTCCTTGTTTCCCGTGCTTATATAATAAGGTACATATGTAGTAGTAACAGAGTTCATGACCCCTGTACTTTATATGCTCATAGCAGTATAAAAATAAATTATTAAAAATATATTAGCTATGAAACTGGCTTTCAGGTTATCTGTTTTAATTACTTTTCAAGTTCTGCTCTTTGTATTTTTCTGTATTACTGGAGTCCAACCCTACTTACTACAGAACACAAGCACAGAATGTTAATTTAGAAATGAAGTGTTAGTTATGGAATTCTTCTTGTAATAAGAAATCATGAAGACTTGCATGACAATCAGAATCTATACCTGAAAGTGGCTGGTAATTCTTCCCAAGCACTGCATGTTAGTCTTGCTCACTACAGGAAAGTAAAAACTGGGGAATCAGGACCACAGAGTTTGACTTCTGCTCTGCAAAGATTACTTTATTTCAAAATGCACTAGTTTAATAACGTAAAGGTTTCCATACTAACTCTGCAATGTTTTATATCCTTTTTCTCATTTAGTTCGTCCAGAATTTACGGATACTTTAGCGATCAAGCAGGGATGGCACCCCATTCTTGAGAAGATAGCTATGGAAAAACCTGTGTCTAACAACACATATCTGACAGAGGGTAACAATTTTGTCATTATTACAGGACCAAATATGAGTGGAAAATCAACATACCTAAAACAGATTGCTCTCTGTCAAATTATGGCACAGATTGGTGAGTAAGAGTGTTCCATATTAGTGATCTTCTGCAGCACATTTATTATTTTCTAGTAAAAAATATTTATGAAGTTGAATGATTTGGCTTCTAGAATAAGATTCTATCTAAATAGTAACAGGTGATTTTTAGTCCGTTTGCTCCTACCAGCTCTTGTGTTGCTGGCAGAGGCCACTGCAAGGTTTTGGGTCTGCCATTGGAAATTCACGGGGCCCCGTCTGTGTATCTGGAAGCCTCCCCAGGCTGTCTTTAGGAGAAGCACAGCTGTATGCTTTAATTCTTTGGAGTACCTTAACCCCAATCTAGCACCTTATGCTAGATTGATAGCAAGTGTCCTTGAAGTATGCCCGTTGAGCTATTAGTCATCCAAAAGGAATAGATGAACTTGAGCATACCTCAGTTATGTAGAGAAACATACTTGCAGCCAAATAGAATTAATAGATAAATAATCAACTACTTAAAAAAAAAGTAGTAATAAATACTGCAAGGTTCTATCACTAAAATTATAAAAGTAAAACAAATATTTGTAAAGTCTGACTGAGACTCATCCCTATACTCAGGAATTCCTCATGATTTTTACCTTAAAGATAAAGGTAAGGCTGGTAGCACAGGAGAAAGACCTTAATAGGCTGACCCTAACTCTACTAGAATGAAACTACTTAGCAGTGGAGAATAAAATTTGTCCAACATGTGTTTGTGGGTCCAGTCCCCAACAACTGCAAGTTCTTCAGGAATTGCTCTCAAAAACATGAGTTTAATAGGAATAAAGAAGACTGTAAAGTCTTTTGGCAGGCTTCCTGTTCTTTTCTATTCAATAAAACTAATAAGCCTCAAAGTCTGATAAAGGCAATATAATCTTGTTTTTGGGAAGCTAAGATTCCTTGGGATAAGTAACTCAGTGGCTACAGAAATGTAAATTAATCATAGTGTTTATTCTCACTTTTGCATCCCTTTAGACTGATACACAGCTTCAGGTATATGATTTCTTAAGGTTTTACTGATAGGCTTCTTTAATTATGGTATCTATATAATAATTTTTTTCTTATAAAATAATGGTAGAACATAATCTTATTAAACTTTATAGAATATGATGCATTCTCTACAGTGCATAAAGACCAAGTGTAAAACTGATTTTTTTTTTTTTGCCCCACTGACATATTCAGGCAAATTGGCCTTTGTCACACTGATATGAGAAAACTCGTATTTTACTTGTTTTGTAGGTTCTTATGTCCCAGCAGAGTATTGTTCTTTTCGAATTGCAGAGCAAATTTTTACCAGAATAGGTATGGATGATGATATAGAAACAAATGCATCAACATTCATGAAGGAAATGAAAGAGGTATTAAACATAGCTGATCTAGGGTCCAAGGCCCATTTTCACTGTTAAGCTAATAGAAATTGTACTACTATATTTCCACTG